TAATCAAGAATAGCGATCATGTCATTCTGCGAAATGTAGCGCTTCCGCCTGGCTTTGGGGATATCCGCAGAATCTAGTTGCGCTTTCAGAGCTGCTTCAATATCAGTGAAATTATTGGTTGGCGGGGATGAGTCAGTGGAATTGAGTAAGACGATGGTGCTTGCTTCACAGAGAAGGGAGAACAGGAGCGCGCTGCTGACGGCAGAGATTGCTATCATTTTGAGGGGTGGAGAAGAAGAGGCCACCGAGTTTACTTTGCTTTAAAGCAGAAAGGTAGAGTTAGGGTCTATGAAAAAAAAATAGGACCAGAGGGTATGAATTTACAAAGTTATCATTTGGGAGCATTGCTTGATTTGACTTTCTCCGAAAATCCATACAAATGTTGAACTCAAGCCTAGGAGATAACCTATAGTATTCATTTTGTTTAGTGTTATGAGGCAGACCCCTAAGAGGAACTTTCTATAACTAGAGAAAAATAAACAGCATGACCACTAACCCTAAAATGAATGTGAACCATTTGCCCCAAATGCCTGAACCACAAAATGCATTACTGCATATTTATTTCCAGTGGGAAATCTTTAGGAACTGAAGTTCACCTTGACAGTGAAGAGGAAAGATGCATTACAGGTGACAACAGAGAATGTGCTGACAATGTCTCCCAGACATTGTCAGCATAGAGGTACACCAAGTGATAGAATACATACAAAAAGGTTATAGTAATCCAATCTCATTTCTTAAAAAAAATGTGAGCTACTTTAAAATCAATGCATGCAATATAAACTTGTTGAGCTAAATAGCTTACCTCTGCACAATGCCAAAATGAATATATTGTTCTTCCAAAAATTTAAAGTTCTTTGCTATGCTGTAGCATGAACTCTTGTAAGAGGAGTGTGTCTTATTACAAACTCTCAGCAAAACTCTGCAAGGTTTGAATGCTGCTGGCTACGGGAGCAGCTAACAGCTTTTATATGTCACAGTGTGCAACGTCCAGAAAGGGCAGGCTTTCTTAGGGTCTCTCTTAGCCAAAATCAAAGGGGAGGGGTTTTGGATAGAAAAAACAGCGATTGGGTGGCAACCTTTTTAATGTGGGTGGTGAGGAAATTGAGTCACACCCACAGCTTACAAAGTGCAAACCATAAAAGACAAACCCCCTTTTCTCTGGGCTTCCACCTTTTCTGAGTGGTTAATTTTTCTCATTTAATGCTTTCTAGTTCCTG